GGGTTCTTATGTCCCTAACTATCTGCCAAAGAACAGAATTCTAGGTGTTAGAGACCACATAAATGGTTAAGACTGAAATTGCTAACAATCTGACTAAACATTTAAATTATGTTTTTATATTGATTTGCATTCACACAATGAGGACTTACTGACACACAAAAATATTAAAATAGCCCAATTCCTCAAATTAAATGAATTACACAAAATAAAAGAGACATTCAAATATTCAGTCTAGGGCAAAATATAAGAGGCCTGCAACCTTCAATGACACTTCTAGGACTATGAAACCACAACTACCTTACTGAACTACTAGAAGATCCTGCTGTAGTAGTTCAGGGGAAAAGAAGCAGAAAATAAATAATACCACGTCCCCAAAATTCATATATTTATTCACTATATCAATACTTTATACAATATATAACTATAATAGCAACCATTCATTAAGTGCATACTATATGAGACAAGCACAATAAAATGTATCTTACTCTATACACACTCATTAAATTCTGTAAGAAAGAAATTTCACAGATAAATAACTTCTGAGAAGATAACTTATCTAAGGGTCACAAAGCTGGTGATATATCTGGTCACCTTAATACTTCTGGGAAGGTAAAAACATTTACTATTTTTCTTCTAATATTCTTATCTTTATAAAGTTCATAAAGGCTCTTTACATGTACTCTAGAAAAGAGAATTATCCTTAGCCCAAGAATGTGGCTGGCTTATTCCAGAATGGGCCTATGGTGAAGAGTTAGGTTTACCTTGCTATCTCCAAGGACTGTGATGATAGGGATGCCTAAATTCTTGACATGTTGCTTGATGTTTGGGCCCATGGCTACTGCCAATTGCTGGAGGATATTCAATGTCTGTTGCACCTGAGTGGAAAGAGCACCATTTTATGCTCAAACCATAAGCAAGCTGCATGCAAAGTTTTGCAAGTTTGTTGCTACACAGTCAATTCTGTAGATTTCTGGCCTACTTTAGAGACAGAGAAATCAGCTTGTTGTGAGCTATTCTAATTAGCTTATGAATGATTTTTAGGCAATGGCCTCTCCTTTTATCATCAGTTCATAAAACTGGATTATTACTATTTTAGACCAGAAATTGTACTATGTCACAATTTTAAAGTAAAGTAAAGCCTCGTTTAAGGAAACCCTAACATAAAAATCTGAATTTAAAAATTAGAAACTAAGCATATTTATGTATATTACAGGCAGTTTTATAGAAAGATATTTAATATTGGATTCCTATAAAAAGAAAATTCTGAGACTCATGAAAATTTGGTTAATAAACCTGCCATCTACCAACATATTTTGAGACACACAAGAAATTAAAGGAAGCTATTTCTAGTTCAAAATGAATAAAGTAACCACTTTTTCTGCTAGTGAAGGCTGCAATGAAAAAGAATACCCTGTAGCAGAAGGGAGGGAAGAAAAAGAACAGGCATATGCCTTACGTACCAAGATTTTATTTGAATCATTGAGTCGACCTTTCAAGGCGGTGGGAAGTTCACCTATATTCGGTTGGATAAATTTTGCTTCATTGATAATACCTGCCACTTCATCTAGGCCTTCTTTCCGGATCTTCCAATTCTTGTCACTGATCTTAGAAACCAACTCTGAAGTGATTTTATCACTGAAAAATAGTAGACAGGACCTTTAATTCCAGACTCTTAAAGGAATACTGATGTCACAGAAGTTGCCTTTACTGAATCCAGGTAGGCACCATTAAGAATTCAGTACAATGGGCCGGCCCGGTGGCGCACTGGAGAGTGCGCCGCTTGGGAGCGTGGCGGCGCTCACGCCGAGGGTTTGGATCCTATGTGGAGACTGGTTCCCGCTCACTGGCTGAGCGCGGTGCGGGCGCAACACCGAGGGTTGCGATCCCGTTACCGGTCAGTAAAAAAGACAAAAAGGAAAAAAAAAAAAGAATTCAGTACAATAAATGAAATAAACCATTTCACAGATTGAAACCCTACCTGATCTCTGTCCTTGGTAAAAGATCAACAACATCATTGCCTCCATCATCTGGTTCATCTCCATCTTCTCCTTCATCTGTACCGCTTGTGCTGTGCTTGGAAATCCCTCTGGTTGGAGCAGGTGGGCTTTGTCCCTGCATCTACACACAAATGAATGAGTGAGGCTAATGAAGTTGAAGGATATGGGAGCAAACAAATAAAAGAAGGTACATGTGTCAAACTTTCTCATTCCTTCATAGTACTTATTTATATAGCAGATATTTTAATTCCTACCTAGATTCCAATTTTAAAATTATATGGCAAAAGCTTATTTTTATACAAACCTATCAGAATCTGACTTCTCAATCATGAAGTTGTCATTTGACTTGTATGCCCAAGACAATACAGAGTAAGTCTGCCAACACTGAACAATTTCAGTTGGAAAGTTTATTCAAGGAGGGTCAAATTTCTTTCTTGATTTTAAATTTGTGAAGATATTATATTTAATGTACTTTCTGAATAGGGAATACATTCACAATGTTTGAAATTCCAAACGTACATAAAGATATAAAGAGAAAAATTTCCCATCCTATACCACAGCTACCCAGTTTTCTTCCTCAAAGACAAAGTAATCAATTTCTTATGTACTCTTTCAGGGATAATTTATGCATCTAAGAACAAAAGCATACATATTCTTTATTCCAAAGTTTTAAAAGTTTATTCTTAACTAATATGAGATTCTCAAGTTCATCAATGGATTGTACCATTTGTGGAAACTTTACCTTCTCAAATTCTGCATCTATCTGGGATAGAAGGGCAGGCTTCTCATCCTCAAAGAACATTCGCAAAGAGGGACCAACATACAGAAACATCACACCAAGCAGGGTGATAGCAGAAGTCCTCACAGCCTGCCAGGTAAAATGAAAAGAACTTTCCAAGTCAGAACAAAACCACAAAGATAGCTATAATGCTCCTACATATGCTAGTATGTACTCACTGGGTTTGTTGCAGCAAGAGCTGTCTTCACATTGCTAATGAAAGCTTTGACATTCAACCTAGAAGAAATAACATTTAGAATTAAAAACAAACAAATAGGGCCGGCCCGGTGGCGCACTCAGTAGAGTGTGGCGCTTGGGAGCATGGCGGCGCCCCCACCGAGGGTTCGGATCCCATATAGAGACCGGTTCCCGCTCACTGGCTGAGCGCGGTGCGGGCGCAACACTGATGGTTGCAATCCTGTTGCCGGTCGCGGTACAGGCGCGACACAGAGGGTTGCGATCCCGTTACCGGTCACGAAAAAAGACAAAAAGGAAAAAAAAATAAATAAATAAAACCCTTGAAATATTCAAGAGAGTTTTAGAAAGTCAGACTCTAGAACTGGCTTCCTTTGGAAAAGTTCTCACCTATTCTCTTTTTACATTCACTTTTAAAGTGAGCTTTAAATACTGTCAATATGCTGATCAACCCTATTATGCTTAATTTTCTTAAATTCACTCTTGAACTCTCTTCTAAACACCAGTTTCATATATCCACTGCCTTTGTGACATTTCCATTTGTATGTCTAGCAGACATCTTACATCTAACACATCAAAATCAAACTCCTGATTGTCCATACTCCAACCTACAAACAGGCTCCTCCCACAATCTTTTCTACTTCCTTAAAGAGCCACATTATTCTTCCACTTGCTCAGGCTATCCTTGACTCCTGTGTCATCCCTGACTTGTTTCTTTCTTATATCTAATATCCTGTTCACTTCTACTTTTGAAATATATTTTGAGTCTGTCTATGTCCAAGCTCCTATAATCTCTTGACAGGATTATTCCAGTAGCTTACTAATTAGTCTCCCTGTCTTTGATCTCTACTATCTGTTCCCTCTGACTATAGTCAGAATGATCCTGTTACTCTTCTGCTCAAAACCCTTTAATGGTTTTCCAACCTATTCAAAGTGCTGAGGCCCTATATGAGCTGGCCCCCATTCTTTCTCTGATCTCCTGCCACTCCCTACCAGCTCACTAACTCCACTCCAGCTACATTCTGAAAAGCATACACTCCTTGCTATTTTTAAATATACCACACGTACTCCTACCACAGGGCTCTTGCAATTGCTGTTCCTAGGTCTTGAATGCTCTTGTCGCAGAGTATCAGTTTCCTCTCCTCTCATGTCCTGGTCTCTGCTCAAATGTCATTTTTTCAGGAAAGACCCTTGGACTATCCTATAGAAAACAATACTATCCCAACTATACCAAGGTGATACCACCTAATTCCTTATCCTGTTTTATTTTTATTCCATTGTTCAATTATACCTCCTGATACATTTTTTTCCTCTTACTCAACTATAAGTTCCAGGAAAACAGGAATTTAATTTTGTCCATGATATGCTGCCAGGGCCTGGTACAGATAACTAGAACAGTGTTGTGGCCAATATGTAGTTATTTAATAAATTAATTAAAAAAAATCATGAATGAACAAAAGAGGTAAATATACTCACTTGGCTTTTATGTGACATTGTAAGAGATTTGTTTTATATCAAAGACTGTACAATTAAGAAGGAATTATAAAAATACCCTCAAACAGGAGGACACCACAGACACTGACATAAACAATTATTTGCTTGATTGACACTTGAATGATAACTTCTAGATAGGTGTTTCTTCAGTTGGTAGAACTCAAAAACACTGTTTTGCAAAGATTTAAGAGGCATATCGTAAAAAGTAGCATGGTGCAGAGAAAGGCAACATAGTATAGCAGTTATAGTATTCTCTCTTTGAATCAGAATGCCTGGATTCAAATCTTGGCTTTGCCACTTTCCTAGCTATGATGTAGGCAGATTTACTTAAGCTTTCTGTGCCTTAGTTTCCTCATCTATAAAACAGGGATAACATAATACCTCACGTGGTTTTTATGAGGATTATATCAAATGAACTATTATTATTTGGAAAGTGCTTTAAAAAGTGCCTGAAATAGGGGCCAGCCCGGTGGCGCACTGCTACAGTGCGCCGCTTGGGAAGCGCGGCGGCGCTCCCACCGAGGGTTCGGATCCCACATACAGACCGGCCGCTCACTGGCTGAGCGAGGAGCGGGGGCAACGCCGAGGGTTGCGATCCCGTTGCCAGTCCCGGTCCGGTACGGGCGCGACACTGAGGGTTGCGATCCGTTGCCGCTCACGAAAAAAGACAAAAAGACCAAAAAAAAAGTGCCTGAAATAAAGCTGTACAAAATTTTGTTGAATAAAATAAACAACTGTGTTGTATATGCAAATAAGCTTGGAAAACAGTGAGTTAAACACAGTTAAACAAACTTTTCTACCACAGGGCTTCTGAAAGCATTTAATTCACTAAGGTGCACTGTATGTTTCTAAACAAATGTGATTATATGTAGTAATTTCCAAACATGTTTGACTAGAAATCCTTGGGACTGGCTTTTCTGTGGGGCAGCTATTAACACTTGATTAAAAATAACTTGGAGAACTATTTTAGTGGACATCATAATACAGGAACATAAGCCGATACAGACTTTTAAGAAGAAAGGTACTTTATATAAATTAGATACTAGCTCTAGTTCTGGAAATAAGCAGCGATAGCTTTGACAAATAATCACCAATTAGAGACTGGGAAAACATTTAATTATTTTCTACTTGATTTCTCTCAGACTTACCCAGAAAAACCAAATTCTTTTATTGCATTTGATAGCCAATTCAGAGTTTCTGACTGATTCTTGGGATTCTTCTGTGAGAAAGCCATTGACATAACCTGGAGCAGGGGAAAAACAATAACATCTATGTTTTCTCTCATATTTCTTACACAAATACAGCATAACATTAAAGCAGATGTGGGTTAAGCATAGTTTTACTGATGCTAAAACAACTGCAAGAATGCCTTAGGAAAAAAGATTTAGCCTACACAAGAAAATGAGGTGACAGTAATATAAAAAACATCCTGGACCGTTCATTAGTGATCACTCTGGGTTATAATGTCTTAAGAAAAAATTACTCTCATTTTCTATAGAATATTTTTGACTATGATATATTTTCATTATCGGGCAACAGTGCATTATTAAAGGTAAAAATAAAAATGCAGTATCAAAAGTGGTTTTACTCGAGAAGATCAGAACCAGAGTTTAATTAGTAAGCTTAAATTAAAGTTTGGGAAAAAATTGGGAAAACTAATGGAAACAGAACTGTATCACTAACCTGTTCAGCTGTCCATGGCAACATACAAGCTTCAGCCATTGCTGTCATAGCTTCTTTTGCATTGTTCCCACATTTCACATCTCCAATCTTGTCTACAAGGCCATCTAATACAACCTGAGCTGAAGTTTTGGAAAAATTTCCCTTCTGGGCAATCAAAGCAACTATGTGAAGTTTCATTTGCATCACCTGAACAAGGATAAGTATCATACAGTAATGAGTAAGCCAAAGACATTTGTTTATTTACTTATATTAACAATAATTAGGAACAGCTGAGAACACAACCAAACTAAAGTCAGAACGTTAAGCAAAGAAGCAAAATATTTTTATCTTTTAACTATTATCAACTAAAGTAGCTAAATTGACAGTGAAGAGAAGGGAAAAAACCCAAACCACTCAATATTTCAAAATATTGATAAGCAATGTTACCACATGGAAAGTTTATGAATTGAAAAATCTGATATCTATATTTTCCTCCTCTTATGATCATTTGCATTTAGTACTGAATACACATCCTAAAATACATAATAAATAACCATACTAACTGCATAACTCAGAGTTACTACTAGGGTTGCCTACAAAAAAACCACGACACACACACGCCACACAGAACATGGGAGATAATAGAGAATTTGGAGATTTTAAGGAAGAATGGAAGGAGCTGTGGACAACAATTATAGAGATGTTAATGTGATGTTAGACCCCTCCACCCATAAGTATTTCCCTTTGTACTGTCTAAATTTTTTATTTTTTTATTTTTTTGTCTTTTGTCTTTTTCCGTGTCCGGCAACGGATCGCAACCCTCAGTGTTGCCCCCATACCGGACCGGGGACCGGCAACAGGATCGCAACCCTCGGTGTTGCTCCCGCGCCTCGCTCAGCCAGTGAGCGGGAACCGGTCTGTATGTGGGATCCGAACCCTCGGGCGGGAGCGCCACCGCGCTTCCCAAACGGCGCACTTATCCAGTGCGCCACCGGGCCGGCCCTAAATTTTTTATTTTATTTATTTATTTTTTTTGTGGCTGACTGGTAAGGGGATCTGAACCCTTGACCTTGTTGTTATCAGCACTGCTCTAACTAACTGAGCTAATTGGCCAGCCCTAAATATTTTAACTTTACTTTGTTAAGCTACTAGAAATTCCATCAACTATAGATCCATTTAGGTAATAAACACCCTCTTTTAAAATGCAATTATCCAGAAGTGGGACTTCTGGAATGGTGGAGTAAGTACCTCTGAAAAGCTGATCCTTCATAAAAGCAATATGAACACTGGCAAAAATTGTCAAAATCAACTCTTTCAGAACTCTGAAAAGTGGCAATTGTTTAACATCTAACACCATAGCTGCCTGAGGCTGCAATACCAGTTAGGACAAAGGAGCTTGGTCAAAAACATAAAAGGAAGATCTAGGGAATAAGACCTCCACAGAGGACTTTGAGAATTTATAGGGCCATAAGCATATTCTAGGCTGTGTGCATGTCCAAGAAGAACCTAAAAGGGCCCTAATCTTTTACCTCTGGCTGACCTTCAGAACCCTGTATAAGCAAGATGTGAAGGCTAAGGTAAAGTTGTAAAGTGCTGGAGCAATGATTGCATGCCCACACACACAGATACCCTTCGCAAAGAGTGGAAGACATATTGGTTCAAGGTAGTTAAGGAAATCTCTGTCCAGTCATTGGCCGACCACTAAGTTAACCAAGCAGAGATGTTGATAGCTGCAAATTAAACTACAGTGAGACTACATTTAATACTCTCTAGGATATCAGAATCAAAAAGATGAAAAATAACAAGTATTGGGAAGGACGTAGAGAAATTGGAATTCTTATACATTGCTGGTGCAAATGTAAAATGTGGCAGCTACTTTGGAAAACGGTTTGTCAATTCCTCAAATAGTTAAACACAGAGTTATCATATGACCTAGTAATTCTACTTCTAGGTATATACCCAAGAGAACTGAAAACGTGTTCACATAAAAATCTGTACATGAATGTTCACAGCAGCATCATTCACAATAGCCAAACAGTGGAAACAACCCAAATGCCCATCTACCGATGAATGGGAAAATACCTGTACAACAGAATATTATTTGGCAATAAAAAAAAACCAAAAAACATGATACATGCTACAACAGGGATGAACCTTTAAAACATTATGCTAAATGAAAGCCAGACACAAAAGTCCACATATTATATGATTCCATTTACATGAAATGTCCAGGAGAGGCAAATCCATAGAGAAAGAAAATAGATTTAAAAGTTATCAGGGGCTGGTGGGGGGGCGAGGAATGGAGTGACTGTTAATGGGCATGGGGTTTCTTTTTTGGGTGATGAAAATATTCTAAAACTAGATAGTAGTAAGAGTTGCAGAACTCTGAATAAACTAAAACCCACTGTATTGTGTATTTTAGATCAATGAATTTTATAGCCTCGATAGTCTCATCCCTGTACCAGCCAGCCACCAAAACAAAAGTCTCAACGTATATATATATAATTATTTCTTATGGATCTAATACACAGGAAGGTATTAGCTCAAATCAGGTGTCCTCCTTTCACTTATCTGAGAAGCTACGTAAAGAGAAGTTTTAAATGTTGTGGTGTGAGGGGAAGAGAATAGGATGAGAATCTTTTGGAATATATGGACTCCGTGGAGCTGGCTACTATGGATGAGGGGCTGTAACACAGTGCACAAGGAACCTGAGGATCCTAGAGAGAAAATAAGAGGTGGCAGAAGAGAAGCAAAAAAGAGAACAGGAAGGTGCTAAAAATAAACCATGTGCACTTTAAGTTTGTTTAGCAAGAGGTCTATTCTATGAACATCTAGAAAATTCTTGTTTTCTTTCCAGTACTACTTTCCTATACCTCCCGCTACACCTACTTTTTACACTAATTACTTCATATTGCTAAATTTTGGCTTTATTATCAGTTAAACAGGCTATAAAACTGACGATGTGGTATATTTTCATTGGCAACTTAAGGACCGCACCTAATTTTTACCCAAACAAATAAGAAAGCTACTTTATTGTTTATCTCTCCCTTGAATATGTAAAGATGAGATGAGAGGATTTCTAGGCCTAAACAATGAAGAGTAAAAATGCATACATATAAATAATACAAATTATACATATTTATGTATTTATTTATATATATCTAAACTCCTAATTACATAAAGTTAGTTATGTGTTTAATTAAAATGCACACACTCCACTGTTCATTAAAAATCACTACCCAAACTATACCTCTATATTATTCCACAGGATGATGTAATATAACTTACTTCAATAAAAGATATTAAATCTCCAATTAAAAAATACCTGAAAATTAGTTTCTTTCCATCCAGGTTTCTTGGCCAGCATCCTCACTAATGCCTGGCATGGCATTTCAGTTCGGTCCATTAGTTCAACAGCCTTAAAGTAAAATAAGAGAATAAGAAAATTAAAGGGTTAAAGATTAGTTCCAAAGGAATGATAAATACCAAAGTCAAATAAGTGGTTACCTCTGAAGGAGGCAGTAGAATAGAATTGAGGAGGGTTATAGTGGGAGCTTATACAGTTTGTTATCACACTTCACTTTTTAAGCTAGATGCTTGGTATATGGCTGTTATATTAATATCACTGAAAATTTTTTATTTCATATTTCAAGAATTCAAAAATCATTTGCTACAAGGAAAGTAACGGTTTTCATTTGCCTAGTGTGTGGCAGAAACTGGTTATACATATTTTGTCTTACTTGATTTTCCTAAAAACATAGTGAAGGGTAGGTTAAAAGTTGTTAAGTATTAAATTAGGATGCACAGACTCAGGTCTAAACCAGATGAGGCTGGCCAGTTAGCTCAGCACGGTGTTATAATACCAAGGTCAAGAGTTTGGATTCCCATACCTGCCAGAGGCCCCAAAATAAACCAACCAACCAACCAACCAACCAGATGAGCAGTATATGTGGGACTGGAAGGCTCCTGCTTCAAGTCCTAGTGCTCTTTTAGTTTCTTCATACCCCTCCTCATTAGAATCACTCAGTATATGCCAAAATGAACTACGATGCTCCTTTCCAAAACAGATTTTGGAGAGCTTTTCATACCAATTGGTAATATCAAGCAATGATGATGATGAAGTGGGGAAAAAATGGATAAGGGGTGGTTTAGGTGAAGAGATCTGTTTGCCTAGTAAGTTTATGAGCAAGTACCATAATTTAAAAATTCATCTAAGCCTTATAATTCAGAATAAGAACCTAATCTTCTTGAATAAATACTAAGTTACGAGCTTATAGAAGCCATAGAATACAGGTGTTGAAAGATAACAAATAGCACACAGCTACAAAAAAACCCCACCTTATATTTAGTTAACACCATGAAACATGTTCACTGGTATAAAACACAGCAATGAAGACAAATCCTTCATTTGTCAATTTCACTGCTTCCATATAATCTAATTTTCTTTCACTCTCAATTCACTCCTACGCACCTACCTTTTGGAACTCTTCCATACAGGCCAGCCTCTCCTTCCAGTTACTGCTGTCTAGAAGCTGTATACAGGTAGAGGGAAGGACAGCTGAAGCTTTTTCTTCACATACTTCTATCTGTAAGGTACAAAAACATATTAAAATTAGGAATTGCTTAAACAGATGGCAAGAACGTAAACACACCCCAGCCAAAACTAAAGAACACTCTCATAGGTATGCTATAGTATCTGAGGCTTCTATTAAACTGCCACAAAGTTTGTCCAAGAGAGTCTCAATAAACTAAAAGATATTGATTAACTGTATGTTATAGAACCCAGCAAGGAAAGAACTCATATCTTCTCATTGATCTCAACTTTCCAAGGTTTCAAAAGTTTGAGGCAGAAGTATAATACTGACTGAGAGCTCAGGCTCCACTACTTCTTTGGTCTCCAGTCCTTTCTTGTTCTTGGTTCCAGCGCTCCCTGTGCCTCCTGGTACAGCTGGTTTCCCCTTCTTAGGTGGCCCACCAACCTAAAAGTAATTTTTAAAAAATCAAATCTCTTAAGGATTTAGAATCGTGGTTCTTAAGCATTTTGGGGTCACAGGCCCCACTGAAATTTTGGTTAATGAAGGATCACCCCAAAATAAACATATTTTTTGTGTGTCACAGAATTTAACACAATTTCAAAGTCAGATAGACTCTGCCCCCAACCAAAGACCATCCATGGGGTAATCTGCAGACCCCATACTAAAAACTTCTAATTCAGAATGAGCTAATGAGATAAATGAAACAAAAACAATAGACTGGAATTATACTACATTAACAGATTAATTTGAAAATCACATCCTGGCGGGGGATGGGTATTGTTTAATAGGTGTAGAGTTTCAGTGTTACAACATGAAAAGCATGTTGTAAAGGGAATAAATAAATGATTATGATGATTGTAGCACGACATTATGAATATATTTAATATCAATGAACCGTACACTTAAAAATGGTTAAGATAGTAAATTTTGTATTTGTGTATTTAATCAGAATAAATAAATGATTATGATGATTGTAGCACGACATTATGAATATATTTAATATCAATGAAACGTACACTTAAAAATGGTTAAGATAGTAAATTTTGTATTTGTGTATTTAATCGCAGTAAAGATTTGACAAAAAAAGCACTCCAGTACCTTCCTTAGCATTTTTATCTCAAAGTTTCAAAAAGCCAACTGTATCGTTAGAATATTCTTTCTTCATTAAAGATGTTTTGCTGTACTCTCAATGTGCTGAATGAATTCAAATATCAAACGAAATCATATTGGAGGAACAACCATGAACCTGAGGCTCAGACCCTACCTTACAAAATTCTATTTCTAAAACCATCTATTAACCTTAGTAGCAGGTGCCTTTTTTAAGGGTCCTGGTTTGGGGGCTGAAATGTCCTTCATGTCCTTATCTCCTGCAGCCCCTGAAGCAGCATTCCTTCCCGGCACAGTTTTCAATTCCTTCTTATCAGCTGCTAGTCCAGCTTTCTTACCATGTACCAGTTCTACTTTTTCTGAACATTCTTTGATCTGGTGAATGAAAGTGAGATGAACATCATTAGGCCCAACTTTGAAACACAAACACTACATTATTTATTACTTAATGAGTCATTTCTAAACCACAATTATACATGAGAATTCAAAGAAAAAAAGTTTCCTTTTCAACAAAGATAAATTATCTACACTTTCTTGTCAGTAAAGAGATATTAATATCTTACATTTTATTTCTTCACAAATTAGAATTATAATAAACTTAGAATGACCACATTTAAAGAAGATACCTGTATTTAGAATGGAAAATTTCCAAATACAAGGGTACCAAAAAGTTCATGGAAGGATTTGAATTATCTTTTAATTCCATTTTCCATTTACTTTTTTTTTTTGTCTTTTTTACTGATGGGTAACGGGATCGCAACCCTCGGTGTCGCGCCTGTACCGGGGACCGGCAACGGGATCGCAATCCTCGGTGTTGCGCCCGCACCGCGCTCAGCCAGTGAGCGGGAACCGGTCTCCACATGGGATCCAAACCCTCGGCGGGAGCACCGTCGCACTCCCAAGCGGTGCACTCTCCAGTGCGCCACCGGGCCGGCCCTTCCATTTACTTTTTGAAGTACCCTCATATTAGAAACAAATTTATCTCACCAACATTTCATCTTCTTTACAGATTAGTCACTCAGATTTTTTTGGTTACAATTTGAAAGATATTTCTACTAATACCACTATCGTAGCCTGCGATGAAATTTAAATCTTTAAAGGCTATGTTTTCAAACCCTACGTATGAACTACCAGGGGAGAATAAAATAAATTTCATGAGGTAAAATCAACATGTTTTTCCTTAAAGAAACGGAACAGACAAAACTGAAAACAAAAAAATACCAGAGAGCATCCTCCTAAACTTCTTTCAATTGCGCATGTGTGTGCCTGCAATGTAAAATTTCTTTCCTATTGTGAGTGGTAATAAAAAGTTGAGAAATCCTGACCAAAAGGATTCAATACCTCTAATTTCCAAGAGACAAAACCATAATGCAAAGAGATAGGACGGCTGTCCAATTTTCATTATAATCCATTATTAACCTACCTTATCAAGCTTGAGTTTGTCCACATCAGCTAAGAATGGGTTCACTGCTTTCTCACCAACCACCTTTAAAGCAGTACCCAATGCTTCAAATGCAGCATCTCTGACTTCCAGAGCAGAATCATTGATATGCTATAATCCAGAAGTAATAAGCAAAATGATCTTAATGCAAGGTACTTTTTGGTATTACTGATTTTTTTTTTTTTTTTAAAGATGACCAGTAGGGGCCGGCCCGGTGGCGCACTGGATAGTGCGCCGCTTGGGAAGCATGGCGGCGCTCCCGCCCGAGGGTTCGGATCCCACATACGGACTGGTTCCCGCTCACTGGCTGAGCGAGGCGCGGGAGCAACACTGAGGGTTGCGATCCCGTTGCCGGTCCCCGGTCCGGTACGGGGGCAACACTGAGGGTTGCAATCCGTTGCCGGACACGGAAAAAGACAAAAGACAAAAAAAAAAAAAAGATGACCAGTAAGGGGATCTTAACCCTTGATTTGGTGTTGTCAGCACCACGCTCAACCATAAGCTAACCGGCCATCCCTACATAGGATCCGAACCCGGGGCCTTGGTGTTCTCAGCACCACACTCTCCCAAGTGAGCCATGGGCTGGCCCTAGGTATTACTGATTTTAATTCAGATTTATAGTTGTTGGATGAAGAATTTGTTTTCTTTTACAATTTACTGAAGCTAAGCATAGCTTTCCTTTTGCCAATTAACTGTTACTCTTTCACAAATTTTTTGGTTAAGAAACCTTTGGTAATCCATTCAGCAAGTAAGTGCTTCCTTTTCTTCTTATCCTCTATTGGAAATGACTCACTCCCAAATGATCTTCAAATAATCCAGATTTGATACCTATGCTTTGTTAGATCCAGCTAAACAACAGAATGTGGGCCAAGTAAGAAATAAAATGTTTAGCAGTTAGTGGAATCATAAAGGTAACTTGTGCTTTCCTTCAAGAACAGGAACACAAACAGTTACAAGAATCTGGATTTAGTTTCTGAAGCTGCAAAGGGTCTGCTCCTAAAAAGATCATAATCTACAGTCGAAAAGTCAGCTAGTGTCTGCACCCAATTAGTAGGAAAAAAAAATCTTGCCTAGATACAAAATATTCCTTTTTTTTTTTTTTGGTAGCTGGCTGGTTCAGGAATCTGAACCATGATCTTGGTCTTAACCAGCACCACAGTCTCCCAAATGAGCTAACTGGCCAGTCCTCCCCCAATTTCAAAGAGAGTTCTATACCTTAAGTAGAGCAGCACAAAAGGGCTTTAGCAAGCTCTTTGGGAGGGTAGAAGCAGTGCAGTGGCGGAAGCTTCTTGCAATAAAAAGAGATGTCTGCTGCTTGATGGTTGGATTTTTATTATCCATTACTGCTAAAACATCTTCACTGATGTTCTGTAGCGTGGTCTTTAGAAAGAAAATGCAGACAATGAGCTTTTCTCAATTGTCAAGAACAATCAAAATATTACATTGACAAAATTTACTTTAGATAAAACCACAAACCCATGCTATCAACTTACAGTAAGGAAGACTGCATCAATTGCCTCCTGCAGGGCTTGTACCACTTGAGGTTTCTTCTCCTTGAATTTTTCCAAAATAGTTGGCACAACCTATAAAAGTAAATAGCTGGAAAGTTATTCGGCAATAAAAAGGAATGAAGTATTATTGATACATGGTACAACATGACTGAACCTTGAAAACAGTATTCAAAGTGAAAGAAGCTTGTCACAAAAGGCCACATATTGTATGATTCCCTTTATGTGAAATGTCAAAACCAGACAGAGAGAAAGTAGATTAGTGGTTGCCAGGGTCTAGGGTGAGAGCAGAATGGGGAGTGACTCCTAACAGGTATGGGGTTTATTTTTGGAATGATGAAAATGTTCTGGAATTAGATATTGTGGTTGTACTAAAACCATGTTAAGAGGATAGATTTTATAGTTTGTAAGTTTTATCTCAATACAGCTGTTATTTTTAAAATGACCTTTGTTCTACCAAGACAAAAAAAAAAAGTGAACATTTAAGTTAAATAAAAAGTCATTTCCTTTCTTGAAGGGCACAAGAATCTTAAACTAGAACAGTTAAGAGTTCTCATTCTGTCCCACTGTAGCAGTGCTTCTCAACCTATTTTCTGCCTCTATACCTTATATGCAACCATATGACCATTGCTATCAGTAACATGTCTCATTAGACAAAATGATTCTCAGCTAGGAGGATTTAGGGTAAGGGAACAGATATAATATATATCTGTTATGTAATATGTTATATATATATATATGTTATATTATGTATATATAATTCTTCCTCCCTACCCAAGATTCTGATATACCTTACTGGACTGGGATGTCTCCTGCCACTTCACTACATCAACAAAAAACGAAGTAGTACCAGCAATTACAATTTGTGATCAGAATTATATCTTCTTATTCAAGTACTAAGTTCAGATCAGTCAAGTTGGAATTTTTATAATTTGATCTTCTATACTATTACTAATTCATTAAATACCGAATGCCATATATATATAGTATATATAACACATATATATTATATGTATATAATGCTATATATATATATAATATGTATATAACACAAGGCACTGTGTCAGCAAGCAAATCAAAGATTTTTT